ACGTTCACAACGTCACATCGCTAGACGTACACCACCCCGACGACATCGATCCGGAACCCCCAAAACCGAGTAGGACCCGAATATCGCAATGGTTGCTTGTAGCCTGACTCTTGCCGCCCTCGCGGCAAGCGCATCCGCTCTATCGGCTCGTCGCGACGATACACAGTCTTCTGGTGGTGTCGGTGCCATTTCTTTGCCTGTCTACCAAGACGTCAGACTGCACCCTCTGGACAAGCTGCGCAGAAGACAGGTCTCAGATACAGACGCCCCAGTACTCAACGTGACGACGACTACCTATTTGATTGAGCGTGAGTATTCTCCTAGGCGCTTGAAATCCAATCATATTTACTAATCATTGTTCTCAGTGAACATTGGTACGCCCGGCCAAGACACAAAGGTTGCCATTGATACTGGTTCCTCCGAACTCTGGGTCAACCCCAACTGCGCCAACGCTGGCAGCAGCGCACAGACACAATCCTGCAGAGCCAACGGCCAGTACGACCCTCAAGACTCTTCGACTTCGTCTGTTTATCGCCAGACAGGTCGCATTAAGTATGGAAAGGGAGAGGTTGTCCTGCAGTATGTCAGCGATAACATCACGCTTCCCGGCAGCGGTATGTGCTACCTCGCTCTGGCGCCTGATCAACCCACTAATCACAATTTACAGACATTGCACTGCGAGACACCATTTTTGGCTATGCCACTGATAGTGTTGACCTTAACAGAGGTATCCTCGGCCTGAGCTTCGGCGAGGCGACCAACAACACTGGGTACCCGACCGTGCTTGACGAGATGAAGGCCCAGAACATCGTTGAGTCTCTCACCATTGGTATCGCGCTCGGAACCAAGGACGAGAAGACGGGTAGCGGTCTCATTTCCTTCGGCGGTGTCGACACGAAGAAATTCAGTGGCACCCTGCACTCGGCGCCCATCCTTGGGCCTCAGAACAACGAGAACCTGTGGAGGTGAGTAATTACTCTTCTGTTCTTTACGACAATGGCTAATTGAATATCTTAGGTACTGGGTTCAGCTGGATTCTGTGGGCCTGAGCAAGTCGGGAAGCAGCTCCAAGACTTACGCCAACTCCCAATTCCCCGTCTTCTTCGACACTGGCGCCACCCTGAGCTATCTTCCTTCAGCCATCGTCGACTCACTCGGATCTGATCTGGGAGGCCAGCTTGACTCATCCGTCAACATGTATGTGGTACCTTGCAGCACCACAGGCACTATCGACTTCAAGTTTGGCGACTACACCATGAAGGTACCCATTCAGGAGTTCATCTGGAACGTGGGCAACAACCAGTGTGTCCTCGGAGCTGATAAGGCAACCGACGGCTCGTATCTGCTTGGTGACTCGTTCCTCCGTTCGACTTACGTCGTTTTCGACCAGGAGACACCCGCCCTCCACTTTGCCCCCTACAACAACTGCGGTTCGAACCTTCAGAAGATTCCCCTGGGCGCGAATGCGGCGGCAAAGTTCACTGGCGAGTGCTCTACCTCCACTGCCCCCAGTGGTAGCAACCCGACTGGTACCGGCAACGCTGCTGGCCGCTCAACATCCACCAACCTCTGGCTTGCAGCTGGTGCTTTGGTCGGCGTACAAGCTTTCATGTCCTTCCTTTAAATCCGCATACATAATTGAACGGCTGAATATCACTGCATGAATCGGGAGTTGGGGCAGGATCAAGATGGTCGCCACGTTGGCGAATAGATGACGACGAATCGAGCCTCCTGTACATGGCGGATCGCTTTATACCCTCTTTCCCTGGCCATGGGACTACATAGTTTTTGTTATTGATTAATGAACAACTGAAACCCACAGTGGTTTCTAAATTATCTCACGACACTTACGCTTTCAGTTGGATTGTGATGTGATTTGATAAATCTGATGCGACAAAGTCCAAGCAGGAATTGACGGATTGTACACATTGCTGTGTGAGAGGTACTGTGGATGACAACAAATAATGATAAAATATGGGCAAAAATCCCTTTCTGGTTCAGCTTAAATCGAATTCGCGATAATTGTATTGACAGGGGAAGAAAGAAAGCAACAGCACTGTCCGTTGAGAACGCGATTGAAGCAACTCTTATTCCAAGCAATTATATCCGAGATCGAGCTATCGATCGGGGTGCGCAAACCCCAACATGGTTAGGATTAACAACAATGATCGCGGAGCTGCCAAGATCTGATAGAAATATGACAGTTTGAGAAAGCATAAATGATCAGTGCATTCTTGGGAGCTGCTGGTTCGTCCCGAGTTGTGAGGGAGGTGCGGGATGTCAAGGTTGGACCCTGTCTGTATCTCGTTCTTGCCCAATCTGGACATGCAGCACATGGCAGGATGCCTCCTTCCCAAACTGGTGATGAAGACCCTCACTTCCTGCCTTTGGAGAATCACCATTGATGAGAGTTGAATGTAGACGCGTGTGGATCTCTGGCTCCCTCCTTTTCTTTGACCTTCATCCTCTTCGCCGACTGATCAAACCATTCTTTTCCTGCATCGCCCTTTGTCACCTACCTACTCACGTCTCTACCCTATTCCTGTTCCTTTACTCTTGCGAGACTTTTGTCGCAGCTACACCTTTTGCCGCCTCAGATATCTTACCTAGGCACGGGCAAGCACCAACAGATCGACCGTCGAAATGCGCTCCACCTCAGTCCTCGCCGCCTTGCTGGCCTCTGCCCCTGGCCTGGTCCTCGCATCCGGACATCTGGGCTTCGCTCTCGGTTCGAAGCAGCCGGGCGGGCAGTGCAAGTACCAGGCAGACTACGAAGCGGACTTCAGGGCCATCCGAGATGCTTCGGGAAGCAGCATCGTCCGCATCTATGCTGCTGACCAGTGCAACACTGCCCAGTACATTCTTCCCGCAGCCAAGAAGGAGGGATTCCAGGTGATTTTGGGCATTTGGTAAGCTAACATCATTTGGCGATAGACTTCACCTTACCCCAAATCAAGTGAAGTTTAACTGGAAAGTGCTCCCGCTGACTCAGACAGGCCCGATACCGAAGAGTCGTACGCCGCCGACAAGGCCGCAATTCTGAAGCACACACCCGGCTACGAGGACCAAGTCTACGCCATCACTGTCGGATCCGAGTCCATGTACCGCGGCAACTTCACCGGCACCGAGCTGGCGGACAAGATCAAGGACATGAAGAAGGCGGCCCCGCTCTTCAAGATCGGTACCGCGGACAGCTGGAACAAGTACCAAGATGGCACGGCCGATGCCGTCGTCAAAGAAGCCGACATTCTTCTGACCAACGCCTTTTCCTACTGGCAGGGTCAGACGCGCGACAACGCCACTGCTTGCTTCTTCGACTCCATCATGCAGGCGTTTGGACGCATCCAGAGCGTCAGTGGATCGCTCACCAAGCCTGAGCTGTGGGTTGGGGAGACGGGTAAGTCGAACTGCTTCACCCATCACTCTGATCTTGGTGGCTGCCTCTTCGGTGATATTCATCACCTATGTCATACATTCTGAGCAGTGATCGCCATACTGAATGATTCTACACGGTCATCGTGAACGAGTTGCTGACAAGATCGACTGAAATTAGGTTGGCCCAGTGAAGGTGCAAAGTATCAGCAGGCGATCCCGGGACAAGACAATGCTCAGGCTTTCTACGACTCTGGTGTCTGCGGTATGGTCAACTGGGGCTTCAACGTGTTCTTCTTCGAGGCCTTTGACGAGCCCTGGAAGCCACATGCCATTGGTGAAGATGGCAGTGAGGCACCTGAGACTCACTGGGGCGGAATGAAGGCCGATCGTGCCCCCAAGTACCCCCTCAGATGTTGAACGTCGGCGGCTACCAATTCAAATTGATCACACACGATTGGGAGGAATGTTTAGTATCGGACAGAGGAAGGCATTTCAGATGGCATGGGCGGCGTTTGTTTCGTTGACGAGAGACTGACAGGAAACTATGATACCCTAAGAAACGGAATTCAATATTTACACTTTGCTTCCTCATCTGGTAGCCGATGAAATGAATCCCAAAGAAGTGTGACAAGCGAATGAAAGTCCTCGATCGGTAGGGCCTGTTTCTATTTTCTGCGCATCTGACGCGTGGGCAAAGTGGTTGGTGTGGGTGTCGAAGACTCGACTTGTCTCGGGACCGAGGGGGAGGGAACAGCGTCAGGCCCAGGTATCCAGGTCGACGGCCAGGTACGCGCGCGCGCAGAGCGGTAGTACGCAACTGCGTAGGCACGTAAGCCAAGCTCTCGGTGGGCAAAGAACGAGGTTAAGGTAACTTATTCTCCGTGCCCGTCTGTGTGGGTGCTCGAGGGTACGATGTCATAGGTCATAGGTCCCACAGGTAAATGGTTAAGTTTGGGGGGAATTTTGAGTTGCGACATTAAGGTTTTTGCGGCTCACGTATAGGGCATGGTACCGCCCAGTGCCGCAATACCTTGAGAGTAGGGTAAGGTATTTCGTGGGCTTTGAGGTGTGGAAGGTTACAACGGTTGCCGCTGGCTGGGGTGGAGTTTGGGGGCAGAACGAGAGACAAAGAGCGACCGGATTGGGGGATCTGGAACACGGCCAAGTCGGGACGAAACCGAGGCACGGGCGGGGGATTGGGGGAATTGGTCTCGGGTTTTGCTGGACAAGGTAGGCGTCTGAAGTCTGAGGTGGTCTCGCGTATCAGAATTTGCGGCTTGGGAGTTTTAGCATTTCAGGCACGCGGAAGTCTAAGACGTCTATGCCGTTGGGACCTGGCGGGGTGGGATGGACGACGTGCGTTTGTCGCGGTGAGAGGGGGGGAAAGATGGTTGTAGCAGCCGCTGCGCGAGGCGTTGCGCCACTTGGTATGGTGTTGGTGTTTGATGGGCGCCATGGCTTGTCTGGCGTGAGTATCATCCGCGTTCGCTTAGATTCATTGGTGGGGGTTGGAGCTTTCGGTTAGTGACAGTCTCAGGCAGTTAGTCGCATCATCAACGAAGGGGGGAACGGGGGGTGATATCCAATATTTTTGAAATTCTTTTGTAAGTTGGGAAAAGGGTGATCTAGTATATGGTAAAAAATTGGAGGGGGAATAAGAAGAGAAATTTGGTGAAGAAGATGCCAAGACTGCGCTGGTGATGCTGTGCTGCCGGCGCTTCTACCCCGCGGAGGTCCGTAGGGGAAGCGCAGCGGCGAGACAAGCAAAAACAAGCAGACGCGACGTCTTGGATGCCAACATTAGTTTTGGGGGTGACCACAATCCTCCTCTGTAAGGTCCACTGACGACGTCCTCCCATGTTTCTGCCACTTCCGTCTCGCTCTCACTCGCTCATGTCGTCAGTCATCGTCGTTTTGATGAAAATGCCCAAATAATATTCCGCCTGAAATAACAACCGCTGATGCTGATGGATGCTTTGTTGTGAACCGGTCACATATGTAATAAGTCGTAAATGGTACAGACGACGGGCCCGATGGCGTCGTGGTCCTCTCCGTCGTGAAAATTGGCCGTAGAGAAAGGAGAGGCGAGGCCGGGAGTGAGGCGGTTCATCAGAGTCGTCGGAGCAATGGATGCTCACACGTCCGCCCGGGTTGGCTTCTGCAGTGAGGCATTAAGTTGCGTGGTGGTTGACGTGCTCCCGACGAGCTCCGGCCTGTCTCTTTCCCGCCGTTTCCTCTCATCGCTCATGATGATACGTTTGACGCTTTGCATAGTAAAGCCAGGCTCACGTTCTCAAAGGACTGTAGTATCATGTTAGTCATGGTTCCAGTGAAGACCAGTCGAGAATGAAGACTTACGCGCAACCTTGAGGCGTCACAACACCAAAGAAGCAGTCGCCCGAGACCTTTTGTGCTGCGGGCACGACCTGATTTTGACGGACGGGAGTGATAACCACGCCTGCGGTGGCGAGTGACGCGCACAGCGTCGTCAGGATCGCGAGTGAGACCTTCATCTTGTCGTCGTCGGTTGTTGGTGTTCGAGAAAAGGGTGTATTAAACAAAAAGGAAGGCGGCTCAAGATAGCTGCCTTTGCGTTCGCGCGAATCGGACCGGTTTCGTTGACGGGGTTCCCCAATTCCAGTCTCTTTCTGATATCCCGCTTTCTTGGTTTTTTCTTATTCCCTTTGATTTCCAGAATCCTCCTTCTCTCCGAATGATCGTGGAGTTGTTGTTGTTACGGACGTCGAGCTAGCGACGAGTCGTCTTGGTTGGTGAAAGAGTGGCGTAGAGGAAGTGTGTACCGGCAGGTCGGCAGAAAAATATGTATAGCGAAGGCAAGGTTTTTGGATCAGACCAGCTGGACTAGCAGACACGAGTGCGGGCGGGCGCTCGATAGGTAAAAAGAGAGAGGCGAGATGCAGCTTCTACTGTCTGGGATACGAGCAACACACGGTTGAGGTGTGATGTAGGTGATGGTGTGTGGAAAGGATTAGACTTTGGGTAGGAAGAATGTGTGGGATGTTGGTGTGTTAAGAGTGAAAGCCCGAAAAGGTGTGTATGAGCGTGCAGATCTCTTGGCGTGCGTGTGCGGGTTCGTGCGTTGTATGCGTCTTGCTTGAGGCCGTGTGTTCGTTGTATGGTACGGAGTATTGGTGGCTGTTTGGTGGTATAGGTATGGGAGGTGTACTTGGTTGGTGATCGTGAGACGAGGAGTTGAGATGGTGAGAGAAGACGAGGAAGAAAAAAGAGGGACACGGGTTTTGTGATATCGGACGATGATGGGCTGTGACGAAACTCGTCTCGACAGGGGCGGTGGTACCGGGTAGGCGCGAGTACCTCGGTGTTCGACCTCGTACACACCAAAGGCAGGGAGGGAGACTGGGACAGAGAGGGGCAAAATATGGTGTCGGAGACGAGGCCCAGCTGCGTCTCTGGACCCATACCCAAGCCTTCTTTGAGTGGGAACATCTTTTGACTATTGATGCTAAGCATTCGAGGGACAGGGCATGCTCGACCTCGAGAGCTTGAAGACAGGGGGGGATGGTGACCTCTTTGGGGATGGAGGACCGAGATGAGCGGGTGGAGTTTCAGGGTTGAAACCCATTGCGGCGGTGCGCGGTTGCGGTGAGAGTTGGCTTAATGAGTGTGGTCACTCTGGTGAGTCGGTTTTGATTTGCTTCTTGGGGTAGTGGTGGTCGGTTCATTTCACGGGAGGTCTTGGAAGGTGGTCGAGATGGTTCGTGATGGTGTTGTTGACGCTCGTGGTCGAACGTTGGTGAGTCGACATATCTCACAGTGCTTCTTTCCCACGGTCACTGAATCTGTGCCGTGTGGCTGCGGACCAGCGCTCGGAGAATAATAACCTAATGCACAGCGCGGACTGCACAAACACAACCGCCGAAGCCGCCGCCAGCAGACCGAGACCAGGACAACCAGGCCAGCGTCAGGACTCCAGCAGGGGAAGGGCGGATCGTCAGAAGCTGGATTTGCCTGGATGGTCTCCAGAGTCCAGCCGCCAAAACCGAGCAGGGCCAAGGAATAAGGTTGTGCGATTGAAGCAAGGGAGGAAGAATCGATTCGATTGGACAGTTGAGGCGACGATACGTTGACGGATACGATGGACGTGGAAAAAAGCAGAGCCGTTGGCAGCGCCCAGGCTCCAGACCTTCTGGAATGGCAGCGGGGATCGATTGGATGGGAGAAGGAACGGCAATTCGGTGCCTGAACCCCTGACTCTTTCCCTGCAGATAATTGGGTGTGATTGGCTGGAGAGGATGGACTTGGAGGGGATATGCGACACGCCCGGATTCTAAGCCGCGCCACAGCAGATGACCTGGGACCACTCAGATGGGCGGGTTCACCGTTCTGTGGTGGGAAAAGACGATGGGTGGGGCTGCATGTCACGGACTGGACCGAGGGATGTAAGGGGGAAAGAGGGACCGGGTGATTGATTGGCTAGAGATGGGAAGAAGGGGGAAGGAGGGAGCTTAACAGGTCACGTTATCAATCAGTCCTTGAGGAAGGAGGCACCATGGTGAAGGTAAGCACGACAAGGAGGCTTGCGCCATAAGCAAGAGGTGATTGTTAGTGTGCCTGGCTGACGGGTTCCGACTTGCTTACTTAATGGAAGGTAGCAACCCTCCAACGACAACCCGAGACAGCAACGACAAGGTAAAACCTGGCTGTCGCAACTCCAACGCACATGGCGCACTTGACGGCGTGCCTGGCTGGACCAGGGGCTTCGCTGTCACTGTGGTGGTTTGGCTTTCCAGCATGTCAGTCCTGATGAGAAAGCCACTGAAAACTTCCTTCCCCCTTGACATGGATTCCGGGATTTTGGTTTGGGAGATCCCATTTGCATTGACTCTCATCAGCCCCTCTCATGGTCATCATCAGTCCACAATCCCACCCCGTTGTGCCCGTCAGCGATTCATCGACGTGATCCTTGGTGGTGATCTGGCGACTTTTTCTCTTGGGGGCCACTGTCGTTCGTGGATCACTGGCCATCTCTGAGCGCGGCGCCAACTTCAGACTACCGGTACCTTATCCCGTCCCTTACTGGATGCCCAGACCAGCCAACTCGACTTTCCAGACTTGACGGGGGGCTCGGCGCTGGGCGCGGCCTCCTAAGGAAGTTGGACGCGTGGCGGACATGTCTGGACGAGGAGGATCTACCTGATCTTAGGAGGCTTGGGTGAATCGCAGCCATGGATACAGGCACAAGTGACAGAACACGTCGTACCGGCACTTGATGCATCGTGACGAACCCTCGAAACGTGGCTGATGGGCTTCTGATAAGTGGACCAAGTCTTAACCCACTAGCCCTCTTCTTAATCCTGTCAGACGAGCCGCATTTGCTTCGGTAAAGATACCACGGTACCTGGCATGCAGTCCTAACTGCAGTGGCCCACGATAAACGCAGATAATGCAGCATCCCGCTGATGTAAGTCGCGCTCGTCCTCATCGGCCTCCAACGGGATCTAATTGCCGGGCAACATCTGCCGGGACATACCCTGTCCTCAAAGCGCAATGCTGGAAGGGGTAAGAAACTCTCTCGTAGTCGTCGTCTAGTTCAGCTGAAGCGGCATATGCAAGTCACAAACCGTCGTGCTTCCCCCTTCAACCGTGACCCCTCACTATCTCTCCCCTTTCTTGCAGGACTTGCGCCAACGCACGAGCCAGACACTGGACGATTCTCTAGTCTCACTCTCTGGATGGGTGAATGGATAGATGAGAATGCCTGGCTGACTCTCCCTTGCCCTCCGTCACCCGTGTGTCTCCTGCGATGCGGCTCTGCCGCTCCGTTCCGTGGGTCCGCCTGTTCTACGCTGATCTTTTGATACGCGCCGGGAGGAAACTGATGTATCTTCCGCGCTTTTCCTTCATGCTGTGTACAAACGTGTTCTCACCTGAGGGGGCCTTAATACCACTAGATCGTCCGTGAGCTCATGGAAACAGAACGACCTCCCTTCCGGACGCGTTCCGGATGAAAAGTTTTCATCAAGACGATACAGGCACACGTACACAGTCTAACACGTTGAATATCTGCCCAGTTGCCCATCCCTTTCGCTGACCTGTCGACTTTTCTGTGCCGCCTTGCCGGAGACCCTCTGTCTCGGTGCGGTGGTGATGAAGAAGGGTCCCGACTCCTTGTTACACAATGTCTTGCTAGGGCGGGTTGGCGGCGGGTGGAACGACTGGATGGGTCTAACGGGTGGATTTCCATCACAAGGACACGGTAGAACCGTTGTCAATGATGTTTGGTGGCTTGTGTGAGGAATGTGATCGAGTCATTGGCCACGTACGCGCCTTGCGGTCCCGAGTATGAGAATTCGTCATACTTCATTCCTCGGCCGTGCTCTCCGTTGAGTTGAAGCGACGTCATCAGCATTGGTCTGTGTTACTTCTGAAGACATGTGAGTGAGTGAACTAATACCCTTTGACTACTTTGATTCAGGAGAATGGGCCCCGAGGTATTTGGTATGATAAGCGTTGTTCGTATCAAACGTATTATCTGAAGCCTTCATCCCATAGGGTGCCGAATACCACCCGCACACAGATACACGCATTCAATTAAGGCAATAACGAGTAACATGTCGATCTTCTCCCATTCTCATTATATCTACATAAAGAACATCTGTATTAAAGGCTGTCGAAAAGAAATCGGGGACAACATTGACGCGACTCGTCAATCAATGGGGTTGGGTCAGCTCGTATCAGTTTTGTGAGACAATTTCAGAATGCGAATTGCGAACTTGTATTATCTAATAGCTGTCTGGGCGATAGTCTGAGACAGTCTAGTCTTTTCGTACCTCTTCAACAAAGGGCTGAGGTTGGTAGTCCTAACTCTCATCTTGCCATATAAGTGTTACTATGAACTTACACACAGGTGTCCATTCTGCAGCCCTTTCGATGGCTAGACTCATGAACCCGCCTACTACTCAAACAGCCTATTCTGAGCTTTCATGACTTCATACTCATACATCCCTTCTCTTGTAGATCCAACGTTCTGGCTTTTACTCTTTATTTTTTTTCTTTCATTCCACCATTTCTGAATCCAATGTGTGTTTCGCGAGACACTCCATAACTCTTTTGAAACGATGTGAAAGCGGGTCGAGCGAGCCCATCTCATCGACGCTTCGCTGGTAACCGTTCTCTAGGATATTCTTTGATTCCTCCCACTTACCAAGTTTGTACTTGATGAAGCCCAGATGATATACGCAGCTAAGTACAAATTTTCCAGTGTCGCCATGTATGCCTTGAAACAACTGAAGCGCGTGGGCGATACTCTCTTCTGCGTCTTCGAACAACTCTGATTCAAGCTGTAGAATGGCCAAATTCCGAAGTGCGTTGGCTTCCTCGTTCGACCTGGGTTGAGATTCTTCAGAATTGTTGCACAGGCGCACAACTTGGCGCTGGGTATCTATAGCTTCTAGGTGGTAACCTTGTCGATATAAGGCAGCCGCCAGCGTGCTCAATACATTAACCTGGATACTAGATGCCTCGGGTTTATCCAACATATTGGATAGTAGTAGCTGACGACAGATTCTCTCTGCCTCTTTCCATTTCCTCTGTGAGAAAAACGTGCAAGCCATTTCGAAGACAGACATAAGTTTGGCGGCTTTACCGGATGCTAACGCCTCTTCCACAATCTTAAATGCCCAAAAGTCTGCCTCTTCTTCAGCTTCTATGTCGCCCAGCTTGCGAAATGCCGTGCCTAAGTAAACTATCAGGCATGCTTTTTGCATGAGGGGCGGAGCATCGCCACCAACCAGCAAGTCTCTTGCTTCTCCGTAGTCTCCTAACTTAAGAAACAGGCTAACAAGGTTTTTTATCGTCAAAAGCTTGGTTTCACTATTCTGAGGTAGGATGGTAACTAGCTCAATGAGGATTTGCTTCGCTTCTTGGTTGCGGTTGAGACATTGAAGAATCGTTGCCTTGAGCCGTCTTGCTTCAAAATAGTACACTTTCTGCTGATCATATCCTTTTGTTTCCAAGGCTTTCTCAACATAGTCGAGTGCGAGCGTAAGCTGGTCAACAAAGCAGTAGAACATGGCCATGCTGTGCCTAATCATGGAGACCGAGGCGTTGCCCAAGGAGGGATTTCTTGCGTTTGCCGCTAATAAAGCTTGATAATGAGAAATGGTCTTGTAAGAGAAAGAGAAAGTCTTTACAGAAGCCATGAAGAACTTGTTCAGCGTTGCTAGCGCCCTTTCGAAGAACCGCCTTGCGGTGCCCTTCCGCTTGAGCCAATCTGCGGTTGCCAACTGAACGAGACGATGGATGCATAAGGTTCCATCTTTGTTCTCCTTGATGAACGAAAAAGCCTTGAGAATACCTAGAGCTTGCTCGAGAAGAATCGAATAAGCCCCATCTCGCTCCAAAGTTTCTAGACTTTGGTCTGGATCTCCGAAGTATTCATTGATGTGGTCCTCAATCGAGTCGCAAATGTCTTCCCTGGAGTCGTCCTCAAAGTCTTTTGAGGTTAGGAATTTCGCGTTGAAATCGAAAGACGCTTTGTAATGTCTGGCTTCGTCTTGTCCTGGTGACGATCCATTGTCGTCGCTTTCATTGTCGAATTGTTCCTTTTTGCGACGTACTTTCAAGTACATGTAGATAGTCATGAACTGCCTTTGAATCGCTTGACGATCAAAGAAAGCCATCATCGACAAGATATCGGCCGCAAGTGGGTTCCTTTTCTTGATGTGCTCGAAAGACACCACCCATGTCGCCATTCCAGCGTGAGGAACGTCTGCGTCTCGACCAACGGCTTCAAAATTCCCACCCAGTAGCTGAACTTCGACACCATCGCCCTTACTCAGAATAACAAGATATTGATGTAGGCTCATGCAATTTTCATGCATAAAAGCTGCAGCTTGGGCAATAGCGAGTGGTAGGTTTTCAAGGCGGTTTGAAAGGACGGTAGCGGCATCCATTGACAGCGAAGAGCCTCCAGCTATCTCGCGAATCATTTGAAGCGACTCTCCATCGCTCATAGGTCCAATCTCCACTAATGGTTGGCCTGGAACAAGTCTCGATCCGGCTTCTTTGTTCCGTGTTGTAACGAGGATCGAGCCATTGCCGTATTGGGGAATGAAGCGGGCCATGTTGCTGTTACCCTTGTTCGGTTCGACGTCAGATGAACTGGTGTTGTTGGGTTGAGTATGATCATTGAAGAACAGCTCGGTATTGTCGGCATTGTCGAGAACCAGAAACCAGGGGCCAGTCTTTTGCCGCTCAAACCAAGATTTTACGAGCGTTAGCACGTCGACGTTACGATCACTACGACCGGCAATGTTGCATTCTTCCGCAATCTCAGAATAGGCTTGACGGAACCGATCTGAATCACTGGCGTGTACCCAGAAAACAGAAATTTCAGGATGGGCCTTGCGTAGCCAGTAGGTATACGCAATGGCGATTTGAGTCTTTCTACGCAGTCTTAGCGAATTGAGCCTTTTGAGTGGCTTCCTACGACTTACCCAATCCCTCCGAGGCCATAAAGACAAACTCGAGATCTAGCATCTTCAATGTCGTCCTCGGGACCATGGCAAAATTCGCTCTTGAGACGTTCAAAGACATTGGATCGTTCGACAAAACTCTTGTTTTTCGCATATGGTACAAGAACTGTTTGCATTCATCAATTATGAACTCATATTTGAATCACTTCTAGCTACGTACATTTGGATGCCGTCTTCTCTTGCGGAGTTGTAGACCTCTTCTCATTTTGCTCCTCAACTGCTGGAGGCGGCGTGCTTTGACGTTGTGGTACAGGAACTTTCCGATCAAACTTCTTGATCCAAGTTCGAAGTTCATCGCATATATCGATAAACCCAGAGTCTTCAAGACTGCTAAACTTCACCATGGTATGATGCGTTCCATGTATTCCAATGGCATCCTTACCTGGGAAGATGGCTGAGTGTTGAGGAACGACCTGATATTGTTGACGCAGATTAGTCATCAGCATCATTACGGTTGGCCAGGTCAACTAACCAGCCCAATTCCAGGAAGAGGCAGCTCCTCATAGAAGCACGTAATCTGAATAGTGCCGACTCCCGCTTTTGTCTGGGGTTGTGTAATGTTGTGAAAATTGTCCTGAATCTCAGCGAGGACCTCCGACTCAGGTCTGAGAACGCCGAGGATTTCGGTGTTTGTCTGCTTTAGCACTCCAACGGATTTGCCAAGTCGTTCTGCCCACACAGCAAGAGCTGAGCCGTGATGCGGTGTACCGAGGAAGAGTATGCCTCGGGTCGCTTCGAGGACTTCTTTAAGGTGTTCTCTTGTGTGGGCGCGGGCGAGAGCCTGTCGAAGGATGAGATTAACATGACAGTACTATTTTGGGCTCCCCTCAACCTTCATGACGGTGAACACTTGGGTGACACGTACAGCTTGACAGACCAGTCCACCCAGGCTGTGACAGACAAATATGATGGGACGCGCAGACTAAGAACGTTAGAAAACCGCTCTCGATAACGGCAAACAGAACGACCCACGCTGTCGGTTCGATCTCGAAAGTTCGTAAGTCTCTTCAAAAAAGTCGCCGCATGGTCTCGAATGCGACTGACTGAGACCATCTCGGTAGCCTTGGCCACATCTGCGTCGTAGCCGTACGCCAAAACTCGGGCATCCGGTATTTCGGACGGAAGCAAAGCTTTAGGCCAAGGCTCAGATGCCTTGTCTGATGTCCAAGTCTTTTCACGATGACCTTTCAAGCCATGGATGAAGACGATGCTATCGAGACATCTATTAGCATACGCGATGGTTCATTCCACACCGAGAAATGCTAACTCCACAGCGGCGTTTCCCTCGGAGGGATCGTGCAACACGCTCATGCCTATTGGACTAGACGAGCTTGTAGTCAGTTCGTATGCCCCACGTGAAGCCATGGTGTTCGATCCATGTAGGCTTGTCGACGGGGCTGGAGGAAACACATCGGTCGGAACATTGGGCGCCTCCTCCTGCGCGTCATTCCTAGGCCGCTTGTCGGGTTTGTCGCGGTCCTTGCGCCAGTCTGTCTGAAAAAGACGCTTCATTGGTACAACGATGATGACTTGAGGCTTTAGTAGCCTGAAATCTCATGAAACTCGGGTCATTTGGGATTCAAGACAAAGTGAAAATAGACGTGAAAATGGGAAAAATGTAAATGATGAGATGTCTCAGCCGCATGAAAGGGGCATAGACTGACGAGGGCCCCTGTCGATTCATTGAGGCACAGCCTGATCACGCGTGACCAACATCTTTCAACCAATCAAAAAGGCACCTTACTTTTGGCAGATTAAGTTGCAAAAGCAAAGAAAAATCACGTTCTGCAGCTTTCTACGTGAGAGAAACTCCTCATGCAGTCAAGTATCCCGAGACTAGGAGCTCATCATCAAAACACTCTGCTATTGGGACACCAGTCTCATAGAACCGAGCTTTATTCAACACCTGATTTCTCGCGAAGACTAAGCACTTACAGTAGCTTCCTTTTACTAGACGCATTCTTCAGCTCGAGACTGGACGCTTCGGATCTTGCCCTTTTAAGGAAACTCTTATGGTGAATCGAACCTGTGGGTATGTGGCAAGCTGTCATTCCTTCGTTCGCTCTTCAAGCATCTACTCTTCATATACCAGGGATTGGGTACCAATGTAGTACCCACGAAGGGAATACCATGTCAGGTATTGTCTGCTCGCTCACTAAGTCAGTATGTTTGTCGTTCCCGCCGTTACCGTGAATTGCGCGGAGTGGAGTGCCGTCGAGTGGGGCGTTGTATGTGGCGATTCATTTAGTTCCGGAGACCTCCCTTAGACCTGGCATCGTTGAAGAGAGGATAAATCCAAGTTTCGACAGCGGAGCGTCCGTTACAATCCACTAGGCTACACTTAATTCTCTCTTGGCAATGTGATTTTGCCGCGATCTGAAGAACGTTTAGGTGCAGTTCCTAGATCAACGTAGATCCTCGGACCTTTGGTTGAAGCGTTCATTCCTTACTCTTTCTAGACATAGTTAAAAACCATGTACGGTGTGAATCAATGCTTGGAGAAATGGCTCAAATATCAGCCTCATAAAGCTTCAGCGCTGTCAAGCTGGAAGACGGGAATCTTCAGAATGGCTGCATTCTGAGTATCGACGGAGAGCCGCTCGGATCCGATGGGACAACATACGGAGATTGATAAGGAGCCCCATCGCGGGCCGCATTTACTCAAGAGCTACCAGGAAAAGCTTGATTCAACAAGCCAAACCCCTCGGTTGCCACAATTAGTGGGCCAAAGCAACGGTAAAGATCGGTATGCATACCGGAACTACAAGCTCAATTTGGTCAACGTTCCTTTCTCCATCATTGCACTTACCGAGGCCCTTCTTCATGCATTTGCATTGGATAACAAAAGTGCCGACCGTTTGTTGAGTACCTCTAGCTCGGCTTTTCGTCATGTGGCGTGCAACGGGACGGATCTGAGATCCTCTGTGACCTCTAGGAAGCAACTCCTTCACACAACTCCAGTAAATTCGAGATTACACTCGGTGATATCGGTCGGAAAGGCCTCTTCTAAAGTCTTAGCCGGCTCTTGAGTCAGGAAAATGAAAATTGAGAATGCAATTCATGGCAGAAAATACCGAAAGATGGGAAAAGGGGGGACGAGGCAAGGTAGATCATTGGACTGCCAGTCTTGACTACGATAGACTTTGGGATATAAAATGCTGATTTTCCTCCCGTAAATATGCTCCTTCCGCTCATTATCCCTTCACTCTTTAATCGCATCACTTGTCTTGCAGGAGAAGCCAAAATGTCCTCCACTTTGAAGTTTCTGGTTTATGGCTGTGCGGCGGCCACGGCCGTGGCAAGCTCCCTGCCTTCTTTGAACTCGAGCGCCACGAGGGCAGCTGTCAAGGAATTCCCTGAGTGCACCTCGTTGCACCAGAGAAAGTCTTGGTATGTTGAATCACATTCGGGCTTGGCAGCTTACCTCTCTAATCAAGGTCTTAATCCAGGACTACCATGACAACCATCGAGAAGAAGGCTTACATTGACGCTGAGCTCTGCTTGATGAACAAGGCCCCCAAGTTGGGCGTCGCCGGCTCGCAGAACCTTTGGGATGACATGATGTACGCCCACATCTACCAGGCCAACGTCATCCACAATGACGGCCCATTCCTGCCCTGGCACAGACTGTACAGTAAGTCTCATTTCGTTCTCGCGGCTGAGGACAAGCAATAACGATCAACATCGCAGTGCGTGTCCATGAAGTCTACCTCCAGACTGAGTGCGGCTACGAGGGAGGCCAGCCCTACTGGAACGAGCTGGAGGATGCCGAAGCCGGTTTCTTGAACCAGTCCACCGTCTTCGATGCGGAGACCGGATTCGGAAGCTTCAGGAATGGCGACAATGGCTGCGTTGCCGATGGGCCGTTTGTGAACCTGACGATGCACTTGAACCAGACCAGCAGTGATGCGAACTTCTGCTTGACCCGCGATCTCGACCAGGACAGCTTCTACCAGGCCAACAGCACCTACGTCAATGAATGCATGGCCATCGATACCTACGTCGACTCGTGGAACTGTTGGGGCACGGCACCTCATCTTGCCGGTCATATGGGTGTCGGCGGTACTGTGAGTCAAAACCTCATCTTCGAATACACTGGCGTATTTTGACTGACTCTTGCGACAACTAGATGCTGGATGTTGTCTCCAGTCCTGGTGACCCTTTGTTCTTCCTTCACCACACCAACCTCGACCGATTGTGGTGGGAGTGGCAATCCGTCAACCTCACCGCTCGTCTCAACGAGATTGGAGGGCCTGTGGTTGCTTCGGATGCCTTCCTCACGATGTCCAACCTCGATTACCCCGGTGCTGACCTCCTGGACTACAACGGGGAGAACGGCGGCAACGTGACCACCATGGCTCACAACCTTTGGACTGCGGGACTATTGCCCAATGTTACGATCGCGGATCTGATGGATATTCGCGGTCCTATCAGCTGTGCAATCTACATCTAAGTAGACTGCAACATGCTCGTGAGGTTGGAAAGGCGGCACGGCTAATGCTTCATGCTGTGGGATACCGGTATATGATGTGGGGGCCGTACCACACATCACCTTACATGGAGCTTTGGGTCTATTGATCTCTTTCATTCCCCCATAACCAAGCCTACGAAAGTGCATGGTTATGGATACGCTCCTCAATCAAGGTACTCGCAATACCTCACTGGCTTTACTTTCTTCTATAGATATTCAAAATCGGACAACGGCAATAGACTGTACTTACTCCTTGAATGACCATGTCTGTAATGCAACTCTTCTTACTCGCCTCTGCGAGGAATTATGAGTCTGCTTCGATGTTTGAATCTGGGTTTGTCCCCTGATGTATTGAGACAAAGAAAGGAGACTAGGGTGGCACAAACCGTGGATAACAACCCACCGAATATGGGACCGTCTAGTGGCTTTAGTTATTTACAGGACTGCGAATGGACTCCATCCAACACGAGCCACCTTAGCCCCCATCAAAGCAACAAGAGAAAGGACATAGATAAGACCAGTGAACAAAATCAACCCCCAATATTCCCCGTTTTGCGCAGAAATGATCTCTCCAGCTACCGGCACATCGAAAAGGCAAGCAAAGGAGGCCGCCGTATAAGCCGTCGCATAGTATCGCCCATAACTCTCCGTCTTGCAGAGTTTGCCGATACAAACCGGGCTAATGCTGATGTTATTCCCGCTAGCGAAGCCAAACAGGACCACGAAGACGACGATGCCCGCCATAGAGGAGCCCGCCGGCAGCCACACGGCCAAGCAAGCGACGATGCTCAGCACAAGAGCCAGGATATTGGAGTTGAAAGGCCCGGCAAAGTCACCGAACCATCCTGCCAAGATACGTCCAGCTACACTTCCAGCATTCAGAATCGTAGGGATTTGATACGCAAAGTCGATATCGAAGCCCTTATGAATGGCATAGCTCGATATGTACGTGAGAGGAATGAAGAGCGACCACTCAAGGAGGAAGATGCCGAGCGTAGTCAACGCAAATGCCGGATCTCGGAGTATACGGATGTTGGGATGAACCGAGGCGTCAGGGTTTGGCGGCAGTCGTCTGTCGATGAGTAGGGTTGCAGCCCCGCAGAAAACGAGTACGATGAACCCGACGGTCCGAATCGCCCACGCCCAGCCAGCTCGTTCGAAGAGGGCACGGAGCATCATAGGGTATACGATGCCTCCGAAACAACCTCCAGTGGAAGCAATGCCGGTGGCGAGTCCTCTGCGGTGGTAGAACCAGTGACCGACGGCTGCGAAGGACGGCGTGAACAAGAGGGAGGCGCCGATGCCGTTGAGAACTCCGAAGACGAGCATGAAGTGCCAGAACTCTGATCAAAGATTATTGTCAGCTAACTAAATTTATAAGGTTCCAAAGGTCATAAGGAAGAGTAATTATACGAACGCGTAGAGATGCTCAACAACATCTGAGCCGCCACGACACAGACGGTGCCGGACAGGATCAACCACTTCGGGCCATACTTGTCAAAGACGGGGCCAATGTAGATCCCACAGAAGAAGCAGAGGAACATGTACATGGAGAAAATCCAGCCGATGGTGCCTTCGCTGTAACCTTGTAGCTGGTGGGAGCTGATGAAGGCGTGGATGGTCGCCACGCTGTTTGAGATGCCCAAGGCCGAGAAGGATGCGAACCAGGAGCCTAGCACGACAGACCAAGCTCGCAGGCCTCCTTCGGGGTATTCATCTTCTGGGTTCGGGATGGTCTCGTCGATGCTCGGGTTGTACTGCGGTTCCGGCTTCGAGTCTCGGTTTTCAGCCCTGTCGGTAGTGTGGTTCCGAGTCATGTCGTGGATTCCCTCAGGCGCGGCCTGTTTCTGCTGAGAGGATCTCAGTGGTTGAGACATCTTCAACTTGGCAAGTCGCTTGAGTAAACAGATGGTTTGGAGAGAAATGAGCAAACATCATCTAGAGACTGGGGGAGCTCCAACGAGATAAATAGTCTTCGCAGCCGAGTGATTAGTGACTCAAGCAACAATGGCAATAATCTCTTCCATTCCCCTAAAGGTAA